ACCATTGTTTTGTACATGGAGGCACGCACACTGTGCTTGAAGATACAGAAAAAATATACGTGGCATTCTGATGGCATAATGAAGGTGGCATCAAGTTCTCTAATGGTACGTACTTCTCCAGCGCGAGATATGGGCATAACTGCTCAATGATCGAGTTTGATCACATTTTTCTTCGTAATTCACAAAGCCCCCCAGGTTAGCACACCATCCTCAAAGCTGATAGAACACTCATATATAGCACTAGATTCTATACTGAAATTCGTACGGTGTGGCAGGCTATCCCTCCTCGCAAATTCCAACTTTATTCACTCAGGGTACATTATTCACGTCAGGGGCAGTGATAGTAGTGTAGGGTCTTGCTGATCCACCCTGCCTATCGTGCGATCATGCCGTGTGTGCATTTCGGATGCTTTAACCCCATCGGCCTTCTCGGGATCTACGGCATTGTGGGGTTAATATCCGGAGTACTGCCCGATGCCAAATGCGCTTCCGCCGCGGAACCATGCGCGGCACAATTCGCCCCTGCTTGGCTTCTTACCATCATCGTCCCACCACTATTCCCGTATGCCCACACCTGGAGCTGCAGACCAGGACGTACTTCACAAATTCCACGAAGAGCTACGAGATGAGAGCAAGCAAGTCGTTGTTGAGATGTTCCTCTGGACCTTGTATCTGGTTGTGGCTATCTACGCGCTTATAATCCAAGTGTACGCAATTTTCTTGCCTTGTTGGGCTTGCTTTTTATCCAACCATTGCAGAAAACGGAGTTCACGTTCCATCGCACACATGGTTCTCCTTGCATCTACAATACTATTATTCGTGATGTCCACGAGCCTATTATGTGCACGGACAGCTCTCTCTTATCTCAGAATGGAGTGGTACTTCTCCAAGCATCCGGACTGGTCACTTGAAGACAGATACACAAGATACTTCGAGTACAGCAAGACTTGGAGGACACCCATTCAGGTTGTGTGGACTATTCATGTACGCATTATCTCTCCCAGTTGTGTATGCCCATTTGAACGTATGCAAGGTCATCCTCGGCGATGGGATAGTCATCTGGAGGGCTTGGGTGGTTTGGAAGAACAATCGGGTGCAACGATTGGTGTTTATACCCATGTCGTTCCTTCTGGTCTCTGTTGGTGAGTACACTCTTTTGTCGTTACTGTGGTGCCATAACCTCCCTCAGCTTTCTTGATAATTGCAAATTTATGCAATGCAATATCGCATCCCATACCGGAAGACAGCCAATTATGCTTGTGGCGCGACGCGGTCCCGTGGGCGATATCACTAATCACGCATGTGGTGTCGACAGTCTTCATCGCGGTCAGAGTTTGGTGCGTCACGGTCCTTGCGTGCTCCGGTGTCTGTCTGACAACACTTTAGGCAATGGCGATCCCTCGTCCAATCTGGAGACTCGAACCCAAGCAAGTCCAAAATCTGGAAAACCATGGCGCTGTTGGTCGAATCTGGGTGTGCCTATGTCCTTGTTTGGGTGAGCGAAATGTGTCTGCATCAAGTAAAAACTAAAGGATTTGCATAGGTGTTCGCCATTTTCGTGCAATTTGGGCCAGTTCTCTCCGGTGGCGGCGTCGAGTACCTATACCGCAGCCTAGCGCCTCTTTCTGATCAGCTTACGGTGAGGTTTTCCCGTTCTGCCAGGCCTCGGACTCACACGAGAACAGGGTCTGTACCCCACTGTGATCATTGTATTGGTGAAGCTCAGGCTCTCGGTGGACGACAGGAGCGTAGCCAACTCTTCGCAGAGTGACTCTCGATACGAGCGAGCACCTCAGTTGACTTCAATACGTTTCACGCCGCCGACTAGTACAAGTCCGCGGAGCGTGAGTTCTGACCATGAGTACGAGTTGAATATAATGGAATGCAAGCCGTGAACGATCTCGTCGAGCGACTCAACAGGAAGATCTGGCAACACCATTATCGCGCGACCTTGCGCTCTGAGCTAGATTTGCTCCTCGGGCTCGCAAGCCAGTGAATGTCCACTTCGCGCGGGTTCGACTGCCGTTAGGCATGGCAGGTGCTCTAGCCATGGATTGCGTCCTGCCACAAGACCGTTCAGACGTCCCAACTAAGCCCACCTTTCCCTTGTCGGCGTCTTCTTCTCAGCGCTCTGGACCGCTGTGAACCGCAGAGTTTGCAGGTAGTGCACTAGATTTGCACGTCCCGCGTTGGTGATGTGTAGTCGAGAACGCCGCTCGGCACACTGCGGGGTTGGCACACGCACGAGCGAGCTCTCAAGATGAGATTGACTGAGATGGGACCAGTGGGTATGGTTTATAAGAAGACGGTCTCGTCTTCGCTTGATCATTCCCCTACCCTTTGCCGTCCACTGTTCAAATCGTAAGCTCGTTGGTCCTCGACACGGTTGAGCTCTGTTGAGACGTGCCATAGTGAAATCATGATCTTGCCTACGTTCAAGTACATGCTCAAGCCTGTCCCCGCTCTCAAGAGTGCTAGCTCGGTCACCAACGCCCTGTCTTCGTGCCAAAAGGGTTTGCGCTCATGTCCCGAAGAGACAATAACAGCATCGACGTTATGTTCAGCGCAGTCACCCTCGACCGCTTTGATGTCAATGTCGCCAACCTCATTATCAAGTCCGTCGATCCAAGAACCGCCGCGTAAGTGTAACATCGCTCTGAGTGGAAGTTTGGAGGATAACCACTCGATAACTAGGCATACAACAGTGAATATGTACCGCTAGTTGAGCGCGAGTGGCTTTGCGAGCACGCATCTATTTGACTCATCAAATTCGTAACTAAAGAACGTTCACAATAAACAAGGGACGCTTCCAACCCTGGGCTGCTTAAACAAAAGCGCTTTATTGTCCTTCGTTATGGCGCCTAAAGGACCGCTCAACCCCGATTGAGACAGATGTGGACTGGTAGCAATGAGGCTACTTGTTATTGTGACCTTGAGAAGCGTATATAAGAGGTGCATGGGGGATGGAACTCGATCAGCTTACCTTCCTAACCCATACCCACCCGTACATCAATGGCAGACCCTCTATCAGAGATTTCGGTGTGTCCAAGTGTCTTTCCATCGAAGGGCACTGTAGACCAACGAGTGATTCACAGACTGCGAAGTCTACAACACCAACGACTGCAGAATTAGTCAGACCTACGCCGAAAGTGGCTACAACAAAGGCGACCAGAAACGTACAAGTCAGCACTTGATTTCGTACAAGAAACGAGTGGCTGACCCTGAGACAGGTTCAGGTGCCCTCTCCTCCTCCCACCATGGCAGTAGCGAGAACGCCTACCCCGACACCCGTCGACGAGCCTCCCTTGACACAATCATCGCGAAAACGTCAACGAGATGGCGATGACTTGGATGAAGTCGCCCCAGCGAAAGTCGTCAAGACTTCGCGCGCACCGCTTCCACCCTTTGAGCGTCGCTGCGCCAGCGTACCACCCTCTTTCAAGTTCTGGCCCAGCGTGGAGCGCAAGGGATTAGGAAACGCCGAACCTCCCGCCTGGCGCCGCCCCAAGGCTCGTCGCCAAAGCGTATCAGCGCCACCAGAATTCAGCGTCCTCGGCAGTCAATACGACCCGGCCTACAAAGTGAACTTCTGGTTCATCGTCGCGCCCTACACCAAACGGATCTTCCGCGTGAACCAGACGACGACCCTCAAAGGGAGGAGAGACTTCAGTATCGAGGTCACACCAGAGGGTGTGCTGTTCGACAAATCTATGCAGGGACACCGTAGCAAGCGGCGTCGCCCAGCCGAGACTATCATGCCTGACAATTACAATGCGAAGCGGCCGTGGATGCCGTACTGGCCGCGCGGGGCGATTTTGCTGTCCGAGGAGGAGCATGAAGAGCAGGTGGCCCACCAGGCGTTCATCAAGGAGCAGCGAAGAAAGCATGCGAGCCGGAAGATGACCATGCCGTACGCGTCCTTTTTCCACGAGAGGACAATGGCGCTTTCTCTGGGTGGTCCTGTGGATGAGGGTGATGCACATGTGCTGGGGTATCCGTGGCCTCCACCTACAGGCAAGGCGGCTTGGGAGGTGATTGTTGCAAAGTATGGGGCTGCATATGCCAATCCAGAGTTATTGAAGGAGGACGAAGGAGCCGTGTACCAGCCTGTGCTGCCAATGAAATCGAATGTTGGGCCACTGCCGATGCCAGAGATGATTCGACCCGACATGTGGGAGAAGGGCAAGTAAGAGTATGGGGGCGGGTTGTTCGGAAGAATCTGTTAATTATTTCTCATTTATTCAGTAGCGCGCATAGTATAGTAGATCAAGCAATAGTCTAATGGATACGGAAGGGGGGATGTGCGTCCGAAAACTAAGAGTAGCGCTACGAAGATAAACGTTACTCAACTCTGTATGGACATTGACTGGCGCGCTCTGTGAATCCGTCAAGTGCCAAAACGGCACCGTCAGGCAGAGGCACACCAGCGCATCAATCTTCCACGAACGTAACAGGACACTGCTTGGGAAAGAACAGCGACCTTGACTAGTCTGTGGGGTTTGTCGAACGGAATGAAGCAGCAGATGCGGCAGCGCGAGCGAAGCACGACATGAGGGACTTGATATGATTTGATTTGAAGACGATCCATTTTTCGAGGTGACGGTGAAAAATGAGGTCGTTTTGCGGGGTTTATACCCGCATCAAAGTGTGATCGATCATCAATTGCGCCATCCTCGACCGCCCACTCATGAACGCCACGGTGCAGGTTTGCGATAGAAGCCCACCTGCCCTGGCCGCTTCATTCTATCATACCTTCGCGCTTTTGATGTGCTTGTCTCATTCTGTCAACAAGTGGCACTGCACTCAGCTGTGACACGCAGTGCACTGTCACTCCGGTATGGTGTAACGGCTAACATTGCCGCCTTTCAGATTCCTTCTGGGATTAGCGCGCGGCAGCTCGGGGTTCGATTCCCCGTACCGGAATTCCTTTTTGCGCTCGCTCTCGAAAAGACGCTCAACGAGTTACGAGAGGTTGGGCAACAAGTCATGCACATAAAATGCGTGAGCCGCTTTCTACTATGACGATTCGCCTAGAGTCGAGATGCAGCAGAGTCTTGGGCCTTGGCCTCCGGGCCCTCCAGTGGGAGCCGGCTTTTAGATTGCCATCGACGTCCTGCGGCCCACGGCCCATCGCCGAACGCACCGTGCTTTCGATCAACTTGAATTGCATCTTGCCAGTGACCATGATCATGTCCGACGCCCAGTATGGCAGACTCAATTCTATCTGCAATGTCCATCGGAGGGCCGATGGGAATTGGCACTGCAAGCTATCGAATGTGAGTTCAGTATCGCAGTGGAGTTGAGTCCCCTTGTATCTGCCCTGGGCCAGTGAAGGGAACTCGTCGGATGAGACGGAAACCAACCTGTTTTCGTGCGAAGTGCGAGGAATACATTTTGATGATGGCATATAAGGATGCGTACCGAGATAGGTGTCTTCGCCACCTTTCTTTCCCTTCCTTATACCCTGTCGATTTCTAAAGCGCTAGACCGTCTGAAATCACTTTTACTTGCTTCTGGAATGTCTTTGAGTTTGAGAGGTGCGTTGATCTTCCTCATCATGGTCTTCGTGTATAATGATGGTCGACCTTCTCGTAGAGCGCATTGCGGTCCTGTTGACCACTGCAGTAGATGCCGCTGGAAGCCAAGTGCATCGAGGGAGCTTTTACAAGTATACACCGAACGAAGCTATATGCATCACATTCCTTGTTCTTTTTTCTGTGGCTACCTGTGCGTCCAGGCTTCCGTTTACCTCTTATTTCTGTTTCTTTTTCTTTGCTAACGGCGCTACCGTGCAGTGTGCCATGCCGGTTTAGCAATACGGTACCGTGTATGGTGGATGCTCGGTACAGCAGTGATGTGCGGTATCCTGGAGATTCTTGGATGGGGCGCGCGCTTGTGGTCAAGTCACGAAGCGTGGAACGCCAAGCCATACGAGATGCAGTACGTCCGTCCCTCTTGCTCTTGCTCTCCTTTGTTACTTGATTGTCGACCTAGACGCCCCTCAGGTTGACATGCACCATTCTCGGTCCAACGCCCCTCCTTGCGGCCAACTTCTTAATCATGGAACAAGTCATTGTGCGTCTTGGAGAGGGCTATTGCCGCCTCCGGACGAAATGGTTCACTATCATCTTCCTGTCAAGCGATATCGCCTCTCTCATCGTGCAGGCTGTGGGTGGCGGCACGGCTGCAAAGGCTCTTGCGATGGGGAAAGATCCAGAGAACGGTGGTCATATTATGCTGGGCGGTATTGTCCTCCAAATGGGTGCGGTTTGATTTCGTGTTCACGGTGCGAGCGGATCCTGATAGAGTTTTATGCAGCAACCATTACGACTTATGCGATTGTAGCCTCTGAGTTTTTTGTGCGCTATGCAAGAGATAAACCTCTTTCTGGACGTCGCAACATTCGTGGAAATTTGGCTAGGAGCCTCAAGCTTCAGAACCTAGGTCTTCTCTTTAGTACTGTCTGCATGTTCATTCGGTGAGCAAGCATCGCTAACTCGCGAATCTTTTTGACCCCTTTTCGAAAGCGCTGTTTACCGTACAATTGAGCTCGTTGATGGATGGACGGGACGAATCATCACAACAGAGGTGTACTTTAGTATGCACGGAATACCCAATCCGAATTTATACAACTAATACTTCGACAGACGTGCTCGACGGGGCTATGATCACGCTGGCCATATTCACCTCTGTTTTCTTGCATCCTGGGATGTTGCTTCGTCCAGAGAACAAGGGTGTCATCATAGAAGATGTCGAGATGAGGTATGCGGCCAGTCCTAACTTTCATCTGGACTAGACGGTTAACCTCGAACCATAGATAGATTGGACGCGCGAAGTAACCCACCATTCATTTCCTCCCATTTGTTGTATCGTGTTCACTTGAAGTCGTCGTATTACATATTTTCAGATAGCATTTCGACTCCTCTGAGCTCCTCGTCCTCGTCCGCACAGAGAGAATAGAGCGCGAGCTGATCGGTGCCGTGCATAATGAAAGAAGAGTGACGGATCAAAGTCGTGATATTGCTGAGATGGCGGGACCAGGCGTTGTACGGGGCCACAGTGGCCTCTACCATCGCAAAAGCCCGACGTTTCCCGCCACACCGGCGGGGTTCATTTGTTGAGAGGCGGCAGGTGTTTTGTCGGCGGCCCAAGGCCTTGGACACACTGCGTAATAAGTGATTTCGATGTGCCTGATATCCGTCGGACCGTCCATTCAAGTATAGCAAAGTCGAGCGACTCCCAAAGGAATGCAGATGCTTCGCGTTAGCCGTACGAAGCAATGTAACCATATTTTCGTGCTATGAAATAGTAAGTTCATTTCTTCTGGATTTGTACAAAGAAAAGGCCGACAAAATAGCAAGAAAATGCCCGCCGCCTAGGCACAATCGGATCCGGGTTCTGGACCTGAACGAGCGTCACAAAAACATGTTGGTTGTTTGGGTTGATCATCTCGGTCCAGTTTCCTCCCACCACGTTCAGTCTGCTCTCGCCTCCTTCCCCTCTCCTTTTTCACTCTTTTGCGCATCCCCGTTCCCCTAGACATGGCCTCAGAACTTGCCTACATCGACGCAGAGAAGGGGCACGCCGAGGAGGTGTATTATTCCCAATTGCAACACAACAATTCGACCCGGACGCTTGTAGCGATACCAGAACACAAGCCTGTCCTTCTCCGCAGTGGCTCCAATGCAAGCACAGCGACAATTGTTGCACCCCCGCCATCCAAGTACCTCAGCTTCGACGAGCTCTCTGCCATCAAGCGGTCCACCAAGACCCCTGCGCCTCTATGGGTCAAATTCCGCCTTTGGTTCAATGCATACAAGTGAGTAACGAGTCCATTCGACGATACATCATCATCTTGAATCTCGCAGACGCCTGTTCACGATCTGTTTCCTGTTCAACTTCATTGCACTGCTCTGTGCCGCCACTGGGCGTTGGACATACCCCCGAGAATATACCGGCGCATTCATCCTTGGCAACCTCCTCATTGGAGTCCTCGTCCGCACAGAACTGTTCGCCCGCATTCTGTATGCCGCTCTTGCCTCCCTTTTCGCCAAGGTGCGCCCCTCAGGAACATTCTCACCCCGCAGTCATCTCACCTCGTCTCATAGTGGTCGCCTCTCTGGTTTCGTCTCGGAATATCATCAACCTTGCAACATCTTGGCGGTGTCCACACTGGCTGTGCATCGTCCGCCGTGATGTGGCTCATCTTCAAGATGACCCTTGTCTTCAAAGAGTTCGATATGCACCAAGCCACTCTGGCGTTTGGTGTCCTCACGACGATGAGCGTTGGCGCTGCCATGATCTTTGCACTCCCTTGGATCCGCAATCACCACCATAAGTGCGTCGTCGTTCACACCGTTGCACAGCTAACTGACACTGCCTCAGCGTCTTCGAACGGAACCATCGCATGTTTGGCTGGTACGCATGCCCCTTTGTCGAGCTATTTTCTGCTCACACATTTTCATCAGGCTCGGTCTCCTCTTCAGTGCGTGGATTGGATAGGTCGTCGTAAAAATACCCAGGCTTACCAATGGTTTCTTAGCATGGATCTTCGTCTTCCTTGGTGATAGCTGGGACAGCGAGACACGGCAGTTTTACCCCGGTCGTGCTGTACGCCAGCAGGACTTCTGGTTCTGCCTTTTGATGACCTGCCTGTGCGTATTAAGTGTATCATTATTGATGAAGACTGATGAATCGACAGCATCCTTGCGCCTTGGGTGACCGTTCGTTGCGTTCCCGTCGAGATCACTGTGGTATGAATATTCACAATCCCTCCTTGCCCATAGCTCAACCATGCCCAGCCTTCGTCCAAGGTTGCGATTATCAAGTTCGAACGCGGCATGCAGCAAGGCCTCCTTGCTCGCGTTTCCCATGGTCCCCTCTGGGAGTACCACGCATTGTATGCCCAGTATTTGCATTCCCTTCATTCCCGTTTAACACTTCGCTAGCGGAATCATCAGCGAGGGCGTCCATGCGAAGGAGCACTACCTCATTGCCGGTGTGCAGGGAGACGTGCGTTCTTCATCACACTCACCAGCCGATTGTGCAAGCTAACCGTAATCCCAGTTCACGCGCGGACTTGTCGATAACCCGCCAACCCATCTCTGGACACGGGAGCTCAAGGTGTGTAATACCACTGTATGTTGAACGTATAGGAACTAATGCGAAGGGTTATAGGTTCCTGCAATTGGCAACACTTCCTCGCTGTACCGTCGAGGCATTCGCGTCTGTACTGGAACGGGTCTAGGCGCCGCACTTTCTACCTGCATCCAGGTAACCTACCCCACAACCCATGTCGCCTAAGTAGCCCTTGCTGACGCATATTCATTAGAACGATGGCTGGTATCTAGTGTGGATGGGCTCTGACCAGGAGAAGACCTTTGGACCCATCATCTCCGGCCTCATCGACAAGCACCTCGTACCCAAGAAGCGCGTCACACTGTGGGACTCCAAAGCGCGCGGATGCCGCCCAGATGCGGTCAGGCTCGTCAAGGATATCTACGACGCGTGGGGAGCCGAGGTCGTTATGATCACCAGCAACGCAGGAGGAAATAAGGAGCTCATGGAGGGCCTTACCGCGTCGAAGATCCCGTGTTTCGTGCGTATTCTCATTCCTATTGTCATCTTCGATGTTGGCTAACCTTTTGTTCGCAGGGCACACTCTGGGATTTCTAAACACCCTTGTCATCACCCATTCCCCAATTCTCAGAGAAGGAAGGACTTCAGCATCGACTCACCAATCAGACCCACAAAAACCCAACTATCGCTACACAAACCGCACTCGTTCGACTCGGACTCGTCCATCAGTGATTTAGCCTCCAGCCACCACGGCTCACCGTCTTCCTTCTGCGACTTCTAACGAAACTGGCACGGCCTGGCCTGGCGCCCCCGCCTTCATGTAGGTTAACGAGAACAAGACTTGG